ATAGAATCTAAAACCTTTAAACGCCTTTCATTCATTAGTAATAAAGCTGTAATTGTTTTGCTCATATGTTCCTTTACAAATATTCCTTGAGCATATATTGTCAAGAACAGTACCAAGACCCAGGGTTGGAAATACAGAAATGGCTATTCCAGACATAGTTCCTATCTTCATGGGACTCAATGTTTAATAAGTATGAAAAATAAATGATTCTACAAATATGTAATTATAATTCTGGTTAGTGCTACAAAAGACACCAAAATAACATGTGGTCATCCTCAGCCTGTGTGATCTTGGACCTCAGCACATCAGTAAATGTAGGAAGCAGATCTGAGTGACTCCTTAAATTCCTTTTATAGTTTACTGTTTATTTTAGTAGCACTGGATATTAAACCCAAGGCCTTTGCACTGAGCTACATCCCTTTTTAAATAAGTATGTTTTTATTTTGAGACATGGTCTTGTAAGTCACTAAACCGCCCATCTCCAGTCTTAGATTCCCAGTGTGCTGAGATTACTGGTGTGCACAACACCCAACTGAAGCTCCTTTTAAAATTTTTATAAATCTAACCATATAAAACTTCATTTCCAGAGTTCCTTGGTCAGGATATCTACTTTTACAGAATCTATTTAGCATAGAATATGGTTTCCCAATTCATGAATAGTTTTGTCACAGAGATATAAGGACAAATAGGAAAGTAATCTTCACTGTTTGAAATTTTAAGTCCAAATTCCACATGTTAATACTGTAATGTTTTAATGTATAAAGCATAAATGAAGAAACACACATCCACAAATTATCGGAATTACTCTGAGAACTTTTAAAAATGCCGTAACCAAGACCTAGACAGAATGTCTGAGGTGAGGCCAGGGACCTGTACTCTTCTGAACTTCTAAGGATATTCAAATACACACTGTGCTTCAGCAAACAATATAAAAGAGCATTTCAAGTAAAACACCGTGAGGGTCTAATAAACCTACTTGTGTAGCTTTGTCCCTCATGCAAGGCACAGCTTGCGCATGGCTGTCCCGAGGCCAGTGCCCAGCTAGGTACGGAGCTGCCAGCGTATCCAGGGAGGACGTGCGGCGGATACTACTGGAGGGGCTGCAGGGAGGCAGTCGGGCCTTGTCACCTAGATTTAAGGCAAAGAAGTTTATTTTAAAAAAATAGTTTAAGAAGAAAATAAAGTAGAAACTGAGTTTTAAATTACATAGAAGTTTTCCAACTTAAATACATAAAAATAATAAAAACATATAAGCTAATGTGCAAAGCTGTGGGTTCAATCCCCAGCAGCAAGAAAAAAAGGTGGGGGTATTGATACACACACCTGGAAGAATCTCTGGAATTACACTGAGTTAAACCAGTCAATCCCAAACAATTACATACTTGATATTATTTACATAACATTACATAAGGTCAGGGCCAGCTAGTCCGGATAACTTAGCAAAAGCCTGTCTCAAAAAAACAAAAATTAAAAGGGGAGGGGATACAGGGCAGGGCAGGGAAGGTAGTGCAGTGATAGTTTCATTTTGATGGGGGGGTGGCAAGCAGGCAGACAGACAGATGGGAGGGAAGGGGAGAAAAAAAATAAGCACGCTGTTTCCCAACTTCAAACTGTCCATGGAATTAGCTTTGTTAAAAAAAAAAAAAAAGGTTTGACAAAGCTTTTGTAAATAAGGAGAAGGGTTGGAGGGAGAAGAGGGGAATGGAAAAAAACAATCAAGATACATTATGTACAGGTACAAATTCCCTATGCTGAATGTGATTATGTATACCAAAAGTACACCATTTAAAAAGTTTGTAAAAGTTATATTCACTCTTCTCAGTTAATTTGAAAAAAAACTTACCAAAACTTATTGAATTAGTCACTTATGTGGAAAGCAGTATCCATTATACTATAGCCTTAAAAGTTTTGAGATCAGTAGTGATTTAATCTATAGGCTTATTATATATATTCAAAAAACCTCTCTCCTGCTCCAAGGTTTCACTAAGACATCATGACTCCAATCTAAGATGCACTCTTTCCAAGTTCCATTAGTCCAGAACCCTCGCTGCTCAGCCTCCCACTCACCTGTGTGCACCAGCTACACATGCCTAAGTCTGACTCTGAGAAGGTAACAGCTGAATAGAGATCCTACAGAAAGATATGTACAAAAATTCTGGGGGTGGGAAGACAGACAAGGGTGCCTGATAAATAAAAAGGAAAAAAAAGGTAATTTCTGAAATACATTAAACTAAAATTAGTTTCAGGAGCTACTAAAATTAAGACTCAAAGGATAGGTTAAATGATTACAGCTTCAAAGGGAATTCATGAACTGAAAATATAAAAAACATTACTCAAAAAAGCAGTAAAAAGAAGTGAGATGTAAAATATGAAAAGGAACAAAGACAAAATGAGAAAAGCACTAAAACATTAGACAACAACATGAGAACTAAAATGAAGATGACATGAAGACCGAATCTCTATTTTAGCCTAGGAAATAGCATTCTAAGATTTGGCACTAACTCCAAATTCTCTTCTAACAGAGAATGTATGCCAATGATTAAAATTGCTACCTGAGAGTAACTTTCCTGTTAAGTTCTCCAGAATTTCCAGCTAGTTTTCATTTTTTTTTATGAGGAGTTGGGTGTTTTTGTGTTTTTATTTTTGAGTACTGGGGATTGAACCCAGGGCTTTCGTACTAAGATGCAGCCCTAGCCTTTTTTGTTTAATTTTGAGACATGGTCTCATTGCTGTTAAGTTGCCTGGGCTGGGATCCACTTTGTAACCCTCCTGCCTCAGCCTTCTGGTGCTGCATTACAGGTATATGCTCTCACTCTCACTGGCTTACTCTAGTTTATGCCTGTCAAATTCCTCTCTTTGAGAGACAAAGAATTGAGCAATTCCTGCTCATTAATTCTACAGGAAGCTAAATGCTGTGGTGCACACAGAACCTCATTGAGAGCAGGCTCACATTCTAAAAGTATATGTCAGCATTAATGGACTCATTTAGCATTCTTGATAAATATGTACATTCCTATCCTGTCTGATGGGCAGAAGCCAGCAGCAAATCACAGCTTCTATGGGACTTGGAATTGAGACATACTGAAAACAACTACTAAGCAAGGACAAAGATGAAGAGCTCTCAGAATCAAGAAAGAGCCAACAGGAAAGCTAAAACCAAAGAGAAACAGAAGACAAGGCAGAGAAAAAAACAATCAATCTGGTTATTGTTAAACCACAGCTCTGGGGTAGAGGGGGCCCCAGCTCTTCAAGGCAGCCTTTTAGTTTATACTGTCACTATTAATGGGATACCACTTTAGCTTTTAACTGGTCTTTACTGTATGTCAATTATCTGACTTGTCTTTGTGTCTATTTATTGTAGCTGATTTCCTTTCAATTGTTAATGATGCCATAATTGCTTTTAAATGATTTTTACTGTAAGTTGATACCTGTGGAGAATCAGGTAAGCTTAGCTAATTTATACCTAACAATGACAGCAGCAGAATTAAAAAAAAAAAAAAAAAAAAAAAAG